AAAGTTTAATTTGCAAGACTTTAATGTCATCATAAAAGTGTCATATTTAATGTGATTTTGTTATGTGATGTCTAACAATGACAACATATACTTATACACATACATATAAAGACAACATGCACTTACAAAATAAACACACATTTACTTATACATTTTAAATAAACCCTGCAGTTTTTGGGAACTATGTAGTTGTGTTAGCAGCAACGACTTACTTGTAAGGATTTCAACTAGTGAAAAGATCATCAATATATACATGGAACGAATATGATACAAAGTATGTATTGATTAGTTTATTAATTAATCTATTTATAAGTTCATGGACTAGGCTATCAACAAGTTTGGATTAGACAATAATCTATTGACTAGTCTGTGGACTAGTTTATTGACTAGTCTATGAGGTAATCTATTCACTAGTTAATTGTTTAGTATATTGACGAGTCTATGGAGTAGCCTATTGACTAGTCTGTGGACTAGTTTATTGACTAGTCTATGGAGTAATCTATTCACTAGTCTAGCCTATTGACGAGTCTATGGAGTAGCCAATTGGCTAGTTTGTGGACTAGGCTATTGACCAGTTTATTGACTAGTCTATGAAGTAGTATATTCATTAGTCTCTGAACTAGTCTATTGACTAGGCTATGGACCAGTTTATTGAGTATTATATGAGGTAGCCTATTGACTTGTTTGTGCATTAGTCTATTGACCATTCTATTGACTAGTTTATTGACTAGTCTGTGACTAGGCTATGGACTAGAATATTGACTAGTCTATGGATCAGTCTATTGATTAGTCATAACTAGGCTGTGGTAGTCATAACTAGTCATAACTATTAACTAGGCTATAAACTAGTCTATGACAATGGACAAGTTTATTAACAAGTCTATAAAGTAGTCTAAATAATCTATGGACTAGTCTATTGACTAGTATATGTAATAGCCTATTGACCTGTTTATTCACTGGTGTAGTCTATGGACCAGTTTATGGAGTAGTCCATGGACCTAGTCTGTGGACTAGTGTATTGATCATTCTATTGACTAGTCTATGGATCAGTCTATTGATTAGTCATAGACTTGTCTATTAACTAGGCTATGGACTAGACTATTGACTATGGACAAGTTAATTAACTAGTGTATGGAGTAGTCTAACTAGTCTATGGACTTGTCTATTGACTAGTTAATTGGCTAGTCAATTGACTAGTATATGTAATAGCCTATTGGCCAGTTTATTCAGTGGTGTAGTCTATGGACTAGTCTATGGGCTAGTCTATGGACTAGTCTGTGGGCTAGTCTATGGACTAGTCTATGGTCTAGTCTGTGGGCTAGTCTATGGACTAGTCTATGGGCTAGTCTATGGACTAGTCTATGGGCTAGTCTATGGACTAGTCTATGGCTAGTCTATGGACTAGTCTATGGACTAGTCTATGGGCTAGTCTATGGACTAGTCTATGGGCTAGTCTATGGACTAGTCTATGGGCTAGTCTATGGACTAGTCTATGGACTAGCCCATGGACTAGTCTATGGACTAGTCTATGGGCTAGTCTCTGGACTAGTCTATGGACTATCCTATTGGCTATGGAACAGTTTACTGACTAGTCTAATAACTAATATATGGACTAGTCTATTGACTAGTATATGTAATAGCCTACTGACCAGTTTATTCACTGGTGTAGTCTATGGGCTAGTCTATGGACTAGTCTAAGGGTTGGTCGATTGACTAGCCTATTGACTATGGACCAGTTTATTGACTAGTCTAATGACTAATCTATGGACTAGTCTATTGACTAGTTAATTGGCTAGTCTATGGTTTATTGACTAGTCTATGGACCAGTCTATTGACTATTGTTTATTGGCTAATGACTATGATATAGTAGATGAACTAGTGTAATGACTGCTCTGCGAGCTAATCTATGAATTCGACATATTTTATTCCATATTACTCTGTCAATGACTCTATATCCTTTTTATAGATGTACATGTGATCCTTATGTAGTGTGGACAAAAGAAAACTTGAGAGCTTGAGACAGTTCTTTGACTATATATAATTTATGCAAATTACACAGTAAAGGAATTATTTCAGGAAAAGGGTGACACGCACTTGGTAATTGCTTCTTTTAAAACTACAAGGTACTTAGTTCCACCCAAAAGACTCCCTAAACACACACACACACACACATACGTTAAGTAATATTGACATATTTGCCTGTTAATGTCTAACCATATAAAAATTGTAAAAGATAACTTGCTCGTAATTGACTCAAAATGTCATTATAATGTTTATTTTATTCTCACTCACTCTCTGTCTTTCTTTCTTATAAGCCACTAAAATAAAGGAAATTTCAGAGTAAAGGAAGAGTAAAGGAAAAAAAGTCAGTTTTAGTTTATGATTATAAGATGAAAAAGGTGTTAATGTTTTTAACTTATTACCCAAAACGAGGTATTAAAAAAACAGAACAGAAAAGAGAATCTAAAGTATGTTTTATTTAGCCTTTAATTTTAAGCAATGAATAGAATGAGAAAAATTACAAAAAAATTTAAAAAATCCATTTTAGATATTTCTCTTTCATTGATTCTGTTGGAAATTCAATAAAACAAAGGGAACTGTTTTCTTGTCCATTTCCGTTTTCAGCATTTGATCTTTTTCTTTTAATTGTTTTAAAACTTCTTGCAGTTTTTGTTGCATATCGAACTGTTCAAGTTTATTTTTCTCTAAATCGTTTTGCAGTTTTACCGACTTCTCATAATATTCTTTGAGTTTTTCGCATTTCTCCTGTTCTTGTTGTAATTGTTGTTGATATAACTCCATTTCTGCTTTAAAATTTTGTTCATCTTTATTCTTTAGCACTTTCTGTTCCTGCAATTGCAGTTTAACACTATTTAATTCAATGATCAGTTTTTGTTGTTCATGTTGATGGTTCTGCAGTTCCAAATACAAATCTCTACTTTTCTGTGTTTCTTGCTCAAGTTGTTGTTTTATTAGTTTTTCGGTGTTCTTTGCTTTGTCCATTTCTAATTGTTGCTCATTTAACTGTTTCTGTATATTCTCTTTAATTAGTTGTTCTTGTTGTAGTTTTTCTTGATACTTTTCGTTTTCCTGTTTAAGTTTTTGTTCAATTGTATGATTCTTCTCTTCTTGTTCAGCCAATTTCTTTTTCGTATTTTCAAATTCCTTTTGCAATTTTTGTTGTTGTATCTTTTGCTCTTGTATTTCTTGTTGTAGATTTTCTTCTTTTTGTTTTAGTTGTTTAAGTTCTTGTCTTACAATTTCTTCTTGCTGTTTTGCTTGTT